TTCATTTTTTTTTAAAAATATTATATTAGATTATCAACGTTTTTCGCCGTTTTTTACGCTGAAGCTTGAAGCGGGACATAATTTTTTCGCGGGACATAATTTTTTCGCCCACTTTAGGGAAGGGCCCCAAAAGTTGCGACGTCAAGGCCCACTATTACTAAGGGCGCGCTTGGTCACTCCCCTCGAGTCCATTTTCGAGGGCGTTTGGTAAAAGGGATTAGAAATTGAAACATGGAAACGAAACCTCGAAATCTCGAAACCTCCGAAATCGTCTCGAAACTAGAAACTGCGCATTCCGTCTTGAGATAAGGCCGGACGAACGATCTTCGGCATTGCGATTCAACTGGGTCCTCGAGACTGGACTTGTTACCCAAAACGCGAATGACCATAAATCGCCATATCCATCTCACCTCGAAACCAGCTGCGAGGTTTCATTTCCACGTCTTCATTGCGAGAATTTCATGCTCCCCGATTTACCAAACGCCATCTAAATACCGCCCCCCAAAAAAGACATGCAATCCTTGAGTATAGCCAGGCTGACGAGCGATTCACATTCCCGTGATGCATCAAGGTCACACTATACTCTCGTCCGAAATGCTCTTGAGTCTTTGCGAATATTCAAAATGTACTCGCTCGCATCGGACGATATCCGTAAGTAGCTCGGCTGAATTAGCCAGGCCGATGCGCACGCAGGGAGTACTGTGATAGCCCTCGATTTGCACCTGAAAGCTGTGGAGCACATCCATCGACTCCGATCTGTTGATGACAGAGCTATGTCATCCTTGCGAATGGAATGTTTCGAGAGATGCGAATCTTTAGTATAAGATGCTCCATCCTCGGGCAGACAGAGAGAGAGGCACAGCATTCAAACCGCTTCTCTCGTTTTCCATCTACTACCCCTTTCGTTCATTTTCGGTCAATCCGAACCCCAAATCATCACCATCATGCAGTTCTCTATTGCCACCTCAACATTCTTTGCCCTCCTCCTTGCCTCAATCTCAAGCTCGTCTCCCATCCGGTCTCGAGACGTAGCTTCATGTGAAGTAGCAGCGTCAGCAGAACACGTCAAGTGCATAGAAGAGGCGGAAAGGAACCCGGCCGCTGTCCTCGCATGGTCAGCTCTCTCTCCTGTTCTCGCTCCGCACATCCTGTGATATATAAACTAACGCCTGCACTACAGTACCGCGACAGCTGTTGGCAGCTACGTTGGGTGCGCCGGCGTAGCGGCGCGAGACGTCTCACCTTGCAAAGCCTCGGGGGCATCCGACGAGGCGGCTTGTGTAGGAGCTCTGCCGACGGGTGATGATGGGAAGAAAGATATCGCCGCCGTCATGCAGTGGTGAGCAGGCAGCATCTCTAAACCCCCTCATCTTTTTCACTGGGTTCCAGCGACTGACACCTTTCCCGCAGTGCGCTTGCAACGGTCCAGAATTATGAGACGTGTGCTAGGAGATAGACCTGTAGATTTTTGAACGGAAGGGAGAGATGAGATGTGTATATGGTGTCTGCTCGTCCCTCGTACGAAAGATCTGTCAGATTCCTCCCGTGGCAAGTAAAATATGAATCACAGTATCCTAAGCGACGAGTCTTGATCTGGTGCAACGTGGAGAAAGAGCTCGTGGCGAAACTGCCACCAGAATAAAGTAGGTCGCAGCCCACCGTATGATATGATCTCCAGCCTGAACCGGTCTTTTCAAAAGACACTTGAACCAGCAAAACTTCCAGCAACATGTGGTGTTCTCCAAACCTCCCCAACGCCACATTCCCAGTACCGTAATCCCCAAAACATAGTCTCTAAGCCGGGAATTCTGCAGCTGAGAGCCCTTAACATAACCCCAGCTCCGCCCGGGGATTGAATAGATAGGAGAAGACGGCGCAGAGCCGCCGACGCGCAGTCGAACCGCGGCGGCTCTTCTCGGAAGAAGAAAACGACGACGACGACGATGATGATGATGATGATGGTGATGGTGATGGTGATGATACAGCGACCGGCACCACCAACCCACGGCCACGATCCAAGTAGTGATCGAGAAGAGGCAGAGAAGAGGCAGAGACAGAGGCAGAGACAGAGGCAGAGACCCAGGCCAAGGCCTCCACCTGCGCCACACGGCCGAGGACGCATAGAACTCCATCTCAGGAAGCCAGGCGTCGCCCGACGTCTCTCGAGGAGGGTCGCGATCCTCCTCCTCCTCCTTCCCGGCTGCAGCTTCGGCGGTGGCGGTGGCGGTGGCGGTGGCGGTCCCGTCGGTGGCAGCGAACTCGGCTCCCCGCTCCTCGGGAGCTGTCGTCGAGTCTAGGTCCTAGGATGAGGGTATTCCCCCCCGGTCGTCATCATGGCTGTTTCTGCAAATCGTCGCGCGGATGGATGTAGAGAGCGCGTCGGTGTCCCGTGGGTATGGATGGGGTGCGTACATACGTGTCTGTTGCGCTTTTGCAGGCGCTTGGTGGGTGGTAGGTGTCTGGACTTCTTTGGAGGGCGTGCTGGTTGTTGTTGTTGGGGGGGGGGCGGGGTTCGGGTGGAGGGGTCTGCTTGGGTAGGAGGACTGGTAGGCTGGGAGCACTCCTCGAGGTTTCGACGGCTGTGATGACCGTTAGCGCTTGATCATCTGGTGTTGGGTAGCCATCGATATCGACATCGCCATCGGCGTGGTTGTCCTACCTTTTGGCCTGTCTAGACACAATCTCCACCCGGCGGTGGGAGTCGCCCAGATGGCTAGCCAGAAGACGCCGTGCAAGTTTCTCATCTTGTCAAGAAGCAGAAAGGGCTTCCCAGCTTCTGGGCAAATTGGACTGCGAAGAAATCGATGAACATGAACAATGGATGGCAAGGGTAGATATCAAAAGCCAAGGAGAGATTCCTCAAGTGATGGATGCATGCGAAAGACTGTGAGAAATGTCCTTGCAGCACATTCATCCCCATTGTCGAGTCTACTGCAATCGAATACCGTGCCACGCCTCTCCCGCGCTGATGGAAGGTGAGGAGAATATCCGGTCGGAATTCATATGAGATGTCACTTGGACTTGGAAGAGCGGGTACCTTCCATAAACGTCAGCCGGCTGCGTTCACCTCCCACAACCCCCGCTGTACAGTGTCCCCCTCCCCCCCCCAAAAAACAATGAAGACTGCCCCTACAGGAAAAGAATGGAAATACGAGGAAATCCTCCTCAAGATTTATATAAAGCAGAGATTCTAAAGAGTGATCTTTGAAAAGCTAACCACGCCAGTTGTTCAGAGTCGTCGACACGTCCTCCAGGAAGCCCCACCGCGGCGGCTTCCCAAGTCCAGAGCTGCGGAGTGAAAAGAAAAAATACCCAGCCGCGGCGCCCGATGTGAATCAATCGTGTCTGAATGCCAACAACGATCACTTCAAGCCCGAGTATGAACGCATCAGGAAAGGGCGAAGCATTCGCCAAGCTTGATGAAAATGAGATTTCTGAAATAGGAGCGTGATTTCTCGCAGTAGGACCTAGGCAACTTCTGTTCTCGCCGTGGACTCGAGAAAATCAGACGTTGAAAATTTAAGGGGGGAAGGCTGACGCGGGTAGGCTAACTCACTCACACTCGACAACTCGCAGGCTTGCGGTCGACTTTCAATCTTCTCAACCAGTTTTTTGTCACGAAATGGATCGTATCCGTCGTCCTCCATCTGTGGGGGCCAGGAGTGAGGAGCAACAACAACTGGCAAGTAAGATCTGCAGCCAATGCGCCGCACGAATAACTTCTTCCCCTTCTCGTGCACCACGCAGCGCTCGGTACCACAGCCTCGAACACCCGCTCGCCCTCGTTGAATGCCTACCTACGACGAGGACAGACAGAACAGCTGTAATAGAGAAAGAAGAACGAGGGCCCGGAGCGGTTACTTGAAAGTTTGTTCATTCATTGTTCTGTGAAAGTTCAATTTTTGTCGGAAAGACCTGACTGGCTGGCTAGCAAGCTAGCTCTAGCTATACGCGCAGCAACTCCTGGAATTTGCGAATTGTGATCGAGAAACCCAGTTCCAATCAAGGACGGCATGGCCACCGGCCTTGTGATATATCAACATGCATATGTACCCTTACTCGACAGTGACTCCGTGCCGCATTCATAATATCTCGTACATGGTGGAATTTCCCATCGGCTGTTGATCTCGGCTGATCATCCATGCCGTCTAGGCCGAGTCCTCATCGTCGATGGCCTCCTCCTGCTCGACCAGCCCATCGAGCTGATTTCTCAACTCGCCCATGTAGTCTTGTTTCGACTCCATCTTGGCAGCCACCAATGCAATGAGTGCAGCCCCAACACCAGACCCGTCGTGCGCGATGCCGATGCGGATCTTGCGCTCCCCCGCAGCGCCGATCTCAGGCATGGAGCGGAGAGCCTCGCGCATCGAGTCCATGAAGCCAGGATAGAACTCGACGAGGGAACCGTCCACACCAATATCTACAATTTCATCCTCGTTGACGGTGAGACCGGCTGTGTCGGCAAGCTTGCTGGCGGTGGCGGATGCGGCGTCGGCAAGCTTGAGGTTCTTGACGTCGCTGATGATGGAGGCGGCGGTCGGTACGGGCTTCGTGGGTGGTCCGGTGTTCAGGCGACCGGTGTGGATCACGATTGCGCCGATGGCCGCAGCCGCGAGGCGCGCAGCACGAAGTCCAATGGCGTGGGAGATTTCCTTGACGGCCTGAGCATCCTCCACGCTGGCTGCTGACACCCCCAGGTTCATGTAGATGGCCTGCCGCACAGCACGGAGTCCATCACTGTGGTCTGCCTCGGAGAAGGATAGAATACTACTATCCACCGCGTTCTTGATGTGCAGTGGAGCATTCGCTTCAACGGATGCTGTGGACCGGTAATCATTCTGGGAAGAGTTGTCGTCGCTGAACAAGGGGACGGCGGGATCCTTGATCATGGAAACCAAGGTCAAGCGCAGAAGCTCACCCAAGAACATACCGGAGATGCGCTTCTCAAACATTTGCATTCCTGGGTTGATACTTTCTGCATCCAGTTGGATATCGGCGGGAGTACTTGGAAGCGTCTTGAGACCATTGTCGAAAGAGCCCCATTCTGTGTTCACCACCATCTCTCCCGTGCGCTTGTCAAACTCCCCTTCCAGTGGCTTAGTGATAGCTGCTAGCTTCTCAACATAAGCACCATTGGTTCCCGTGCCGAAGATGGCTCCAAGCAGAGATCCAGTCTTCCCAGGCGAAGTGTAGCCACGAGCCATGAGAGTTCCAACCGTGTCGTTCACGAGGGCCGCTACCTTGACGGGCAACTTGAGCGCATCAATCTCCCTTTGCAGCAAGATGCAGACATCTTGTCCAATTGCGTCGGGGATATCAAAACCCTTTGTCCACCTCATCAGTCTTCCTCTGTTAATGCCAACTTGGTGGACCGGAAAGCTGAATGTGAAGCCCAGACGGAACACATGTTCATCACGGAACCCTTCTGGTGTGCTGATTGTCGCACGCCGTCTGATGTGAGCAGAGAATTGGTCTTGGTGGTGGGTCTTCAAGAACAGCTCAATCTGCTTTGCTAAGAAAGCGAAGAGTTCCTTGGCCGTCTTGGCCCTCATCAGTTCTTGTGGAACCGCAACCTTTGATTGTATCAGGTTGAAGGTGGTATCGCCATTCAGCTGGATCGAGCAGACTCTGAAGTTGGTTCCTCCCAGATCGACAGCCATGTACAGACCCTAGGCCCGGGGTCAGTATGCCATATTGAGAGAGAGGTGTGCGCAATGTAGCGACATGCCTTTTCTGTTCCGTCTGGTACAGCTGTGACGTAGGTTGGGATCTGTGCCATGGTCGTGTCATTCTTCTCCAGTCCCTCCTCTGTAAATATAGTCAATACCACTCTTCTGATTGCAGATCGATCTGGGACTTGCTCATTTCCCAGATGAACTCCTTGACAATCTTCTGCAGATCTTCATCCAGAAGGGTAAACTCCTTCACCACCTTCTGTGTTGCTGCCTGGAGAGCCATGGTGTGTGGTTTCGATATGGGCGATGATTGGGAGGGGACAGGACCAAAGGGTGTAGGATTTTCGCAGGTGCCGCTTCCGACTTGCGCCGGAAGAGATTCGGAGGTTGAAGAGAAAGGATTCACTCGCAGGTAGTTTGGTGGGTTATCTGCGAAGTAGAACTGGGCTATCTGTGACCTCCGGGTCAGTATGGTTGGTGTATAATCTCACCTACCTTACGATAAGTGACTATCGGGGGAGGGTTGGGGGGTGCTCACGAGGACAAGCGCAAGTAAGGCAAAAGATGCAAGCTGAACGAGGCTGAAGGGGTTGCGACTCAAAGTCGAGACTCGGTAGGACTGATAAAGATTGGATTCGTCAATTTGAGGGCGAAGAGGGAGTGAATGAGAGGGAGATGAGAAGGGCTTGGGCGAGAGGGCCCGTCGGGTTCTTAAGGACGTAATGATTGAGGTTGTGGGAGTTTGGCAGGCCAAAAGTTGGCGGGGTGGGGGAGGGGGAGGGGGAGGGGCTGTCGTTACCAGCTCCGGGCGCGAGAAGGCCCGAGATGGGTTTGGGGAAGGGGGGGGTGGATTGCGGAGGGGGATGCGGAGGGGGATGCGGAGGGATGGAGTGGGAACGTGGGAATGGGAGTGGGAAAAGGAATAGGAATGGAATGGAAGGGAATGGCGAGTGACTCGCGCCAGCCGCCGGCAAAGCTTGAGAGTTTGAACTTGGCACAGTACTTCGTATCTCTCTCTCTATTCTCTCTACCCGGGCCGGCTCTCTGAAAGTCTTTGGCTTGTCGGGACTCGGAAGGGGGACGATGGCGGTTAATGGTTGACGGTGGAGTTGACAAAGGATGGCATTGTACTGGTACCTACTGTCATCGTAAGCTAGGTAGTTAGCTGATCTAGCTAGCTAGGTAGTTACCTAGTTAGTCACACGGACTCGAAACCTCAAACCTCCGTCTAGTCGGAGCTGATGATCCATATGCGAGTTGTATGTAAGGTTAGTTTAGTTGGTCGATCCGGGATGTCATGCAGCTTCACGGCTCAGCAGTTGATGACTTGGTTGATGAATGGAGAGAGAGATTGATAGATAGGTAGATAGGTAGATAGGTAGATTGATTGATTAGCTATGAGTGACTGTGAGTTGAGTAGTACTTACCAGTAGTGGTAAGTACCTACCTAGTACCTAGGTGAGCTCCGTAGCACAACCAAGAGCGTGCATGCGCCTGGTTTGAAAGGTCCGCGAAGGAAGCGCCTGGCTGCTCCCAGGATCGGGATCCTGCATCCTGGGTTTGGATCTGGACCGGATGACGGCGGCCCAACTCGGCCTCGGCTTGGGTTCTATGGGGACACCTACCAGTACCGGTACTGTACCTACCGGTACCTACCTAGTCCTTTGCTTCCCCAGTCTCCGTGTCCGTGGAGAGGTCCGGGGACTCATCGCGTGATTTCTTTCTTTCTTTGCATCCTTTTCTTTTCACTTCCACTTCCACTTCCACTTCCACTTCCACTTCCACTTTCACTTTCACTTTCATCTACATCTTCATCTTCCTCTCCCTCTTCATTGACACTGATACAGCAGGCAATACGGAAATTCTCAAGCATCTGAGGCTGAGCAGCGACTAGATTCATGTTGAGGTCCAAGAGCCACACACAGCCCAGCCAAGCCCAGCCAGGTGGAGGGTAACAAAGATGATGATCATTCGTTGCGAATGCCCTATTGCTCCTTTTACCTTTTGCCTTTTGCCTATTGCCTATTGCCTATTGCCTATTGCTCGCCCATTGTCGATTGTCTATTGTCTATTGCTACCTGCGGAGCTGCATCGGGAACAAAGCCAGCAGTTTCGGTTAATAAATACCACACCTCCACGCTCCACCACGTACCTTTCTTTTTCCTTTCAGCCAGAACTGACTGATTGCTGCTCTCGTATCCCCCCGCCTTGACCTCCAACTTCCAACCCCTCCAACGCCAACGCCAATCCAGCATCTCCTCTGCCAGAGCCAGGAACCACTACCTATACCTGATCCCTACGTCCCTACTCTACCGAGCAAACCAACCTCAGCCCTGTCGCCGCCTCATAGCGCCGCGGCTTCTTGACACTGACAGCCGCAGCACTTCGAACCACGAACCACGAACCCTCCAA